ATATATATATACATACAAACATAAATCCAGTTCCATAAAAAGCAATACTGTACGGTACGTGACACATGCCATGCGTTTGCCGTGTTTTTTCCTCCACTTTTTCCTAAAGTCACGACTTTAGATCCTGTTTATCTGCTGTAAATCATTTTTCAGGGCTGAAACATTTTATTCCTGTTAATGTTTCTATTTTTTTTAATACCACTTGCAGCACAGAACGCTGCCAAGGTCAGGTACCAGAACTGGAAAAGAGTGAAAAAGCATCAAAAGTCCAAAGTAAAACTCAGACCAGGATCACTTTAAAGCAGCTGAGCTGAATCCTGGTCCTCCAGGACTGGTGTCCTGCAGGTTTTACTTGTTTCCCCGGCTCCAACACACCTGTTCCAGTGACTGATTTACCTGTTCATGTCTGTTAATCGCAGGCTCACTCACATCGGGTGTGTTGGAGCAGAGAAACCTCTAAAACATGAAGGGTTACAAGATCTGGCAGCTTGGAAGCAAAACGTAAAAGACTTTCAGAGCTGTTTAAAACTTCTGCACAACACAGGACAGATTAATTGCATGAGTCGCTACAAAAAGGGAGGTTGTTTTGGTATCGGGACGGCCCACTAGGACCGAAATTTAGGACTTGACGGGGCGTGTGAGCTCACACACAGTCTGCCTGGAACATGAATGGAAAACAGGGTGAGGATGAGGTGGGTGGGAAGGACGGTGGCGGGATGAAGAGGAAGAACGACGAAGGGTTATTGTAGGGCGTGATGATGATGATGATGAATTGCCATGGTGAGTGAGTGAGAGGGATGTTAGTACAAAAGATAAACAATAATAATAAAAAAATGTCCAAAAACACGGCACTCAAAATCAGAAGGCTCAAAAAAATAAAAATAAAAATAAGGAGCCAAACCACAGGGAAAAAAAGGAAGGTTCAAGGCACAAAAGGAAAATCTCAACAAAAAGCTGCACGAAACACCAAAAAAAGTGGAGGAAGTATATATATATATATAATATATATAAAGAGAGTATACGTGGATATATATCAAGGGGTTATGTTTAACGTTAGGTTATGTTGCCTACCTTCTTGGAAACCTGAACGAGAGATTTCTACAAAAACAAAAGAGGGATAAAGAAAGAAAGAGAAAAAAACGGATGTATAAAAACGGTTTTCTGTAAAAGACAAGCTGCCCTCAGAGTAGCACTTTTAAAAGAATTTAAAAAAATCTAAATAACAAGATTGAATCAGCAACAAACATGGGAAGAATCTTGTGCCAGCAGGAACTGAATTTGAATCGCTCAGATTGAATCTGTAGATGAATAATTTGAAATTGAAGGCATTGGTTTGAAAATGAATTTCACTAAATTTAAACTGAATTTAATGATTTGAAACTAATTTTAAAGTTTTGAATTTGAATTAATTTGCTTTGAAACTGTATTTTGGTTTATTAAAATTTTAGTTTGACTACTTTCACTTTCAGTTCAAAAATTCAGATTTTTGTGTCCCACATCCTGGTCCTTGTGAAAGCCAGCCAGAGTAATCAAACACAGATCCACAGATTTACGTTCTACACTGGTAAATCTTCCTTCTGTAATGCAACAAAGTTAATTCAATCCACTGTAAAAGTGACAAAAACTAAGTTATTTTATGCGGTGATTAATTTTCACCTTTAGACAATGTTACATTTACATCCTGTCATTATGGGATTTTCGCAGTTGGAGCGTAAATCTGTGGATCTGTGTTTGATTACTCTGGCTGTCTTTCTCAAGGACCAGGATTTGTGGCACAAAAGTCTGAATTTTGGAACTGAAAGTGAAAGTAGTCAAACTGAATTTTTAATTGAACCAAAATACAGTTTCAAAACAAATTAATTCAAATTCAGTTTAAATTTAGTGAAACTCATTTTCAAACCAATGCATTCAATTTGAAATTATGCACATTCAGATTCAATTGGAGCAATTCAAATTCAGTTCCTGCTGGCACAAGATTTATCCCATAAATAAAAGACAAAAACCTAAACAGAACATCAGAGTTACTGCTGAGTGTTTAAATGTTGGGATTAGAGGTGAACAAACATTATTAGAGGCCGTTCTGTGGGGAAAATTTAATCAAGTATCCCCTCCTTTTCTTTTTTCTCTTTAATGAAATGACTCCTCCACACACGCAGCAGACCGGGCTGTTCCTGAAAAGAAGTGTTTGTGAGGTGAAAAGTTCAACCGTGACAGAAAAATCAAAAAATCAAAAACACACAAAGACACGATTAAAAGCAACAACTGAATCTTTAAACATCAAACAAATAAAGAAATAAAACTCTTCACACGCAGAGACAGAAACCAGAACAACACAGTGATGGTTACGAGACATTCCAGGAATCCTCGTGTGTTTGTGTCGAGGTGTCCCCACCGGCGGTATTTATAGTGGTGGGAAAAGTGATATCTCCGGCGTAACCATGGATACTGTCGCCACGGAGCTACACTATCTGTGAGTGGGAGGCCTGGAGAGTGGCTGTACGTCCGCCTCCTCCCCACACGCACACAGCCGGTCTCTGCACCCCCCACCAGAGGACACGCTGTCCACGTGAAGCCCCTCCTGACCCTTTAACCCGACTTTAACCTCCACAGCTGATGGACTGATGCAGACCCTGACCTCAGAGGGACAGCTCGCTCGTTTTAACGAGACGTTTCTGAGCAAAACATCACAAACAATTAGCAGCTCGCTCTCTGAACGATCTCCGTTTGATAAAAAATAGAATTTAATCCTGACAGAAGTGACGAGCTAAAGGCTAGTCCGAGTGATCTCAAAGCAACTTCATCCAAAGTTTCACAGCAGTGAAAGAAAAAAAAACCTGTTTTATAAACATTTACGTTGTCAAATTTCATGGTTGTTTATAAAAAAAAAAGCAAAGGCGACAGGAGCTAGCTGTAGCACTTCCATTAGGAGTTAAAGTTTGGAAAGTTTTTAAATCTAAAGAAATTAATTTAGAGACTCTTTTATGCTGCGTGGTTAGCGTAGCTTCTATTTGTGTTTTCACATCTTTTCATCTTGTCTTTTTGCTGAGACCTGTCGAAGTACCAGTTGAAGTTATCAGGTGACTGAATATAATCGTGACTTTCAAAATGTTTGATTTGTGTAGAAATCTCCAGAGTTAAACACAATGCTAATAGTGTCGGGTTTCCTGTGACGTTTTCAATGTTACGTTAGCGTCGATGCTAATTATCAATCAGCAGCTTGTGATTCCAGGAGCTATCTACAACAGGTAAGATACTGTTTATAACTTTTCCACAGAACATCACCGCAAAAGATACAAGCTGTCCCCTTAATTTATTTATCTTTGTCTTTTATAAAAATGGCAAAAATCACTCAAAGTGAGCAAACAGAAACATCATTTTCACCTCTTAGCTTGTTATTTCCCTCCTCGTCCACTTCCTCACAGCCTCGCTCGTAAAACAGACTCCATTTTAACCCTTCCATCTTACTTCCTCTGTTGTGCATCTTCTCACGACCTCCTCAGATAATAACCAGCCTCACTGCTCCTCTTCCTCACCGAGCTCCTTTCCCTTTGTTCACTTACACCAATAAAACTAAAGTCACAAATAAAAAATGCTCCCTAAAAAGATGCAGCTCATTTTATGTTGATAAACTATGATTTGTTAAAACATGAACACAAGACCATGCATTACTTATTTAAAACAAACCATATGGTTCAAGATAAAAGAAATGAACCCCTTTAGCCTTTGTTTGACCCACAGTTTAACTCCTGCAGTCTGAACTGAACACACAAGCAGAAAAGGGACCGCAACCAAAATGACTGCCTCGTCACAAACTGCTGCTGCGACCAAAATTACAGGGATGGCACGGCAGCTCCCTTCCTCTTTTAGCAGAGTTACAGATCAGCACTCGTTTAGATGTGGATGAGATCAGCTCCTTTAAAATAAAAACACACAGATAGGACTGTGATGACGGAGCAGAGAGGACAATGTTTCTGAAATAAAAGGACTCCTGAAACGTCACAGTGGATTCAAAGGTTAATAAAGAGAAGTCAGCTGTTAGCCTGAATGTTGACTTCTTTATTTCTGCATCCTTTGTTATTTTAACTACCTAAACATAAATTTCTGCATCCTTTGTTATTTTAACTACTTAAACATAAACTGCTTCAGGAAACTGACTTCATTTTGTCTTATGTCACTTTTAGCTCAGAGCTACTGTGTTTTGCTTATTTTAGCTGCTATTTGTTAATTTTATTTTAGTTTATATTTCATTCTTTTAGCTACAGTTTTGCTAACAAAGTTTTTTCGACTCTTTCTGGATTGCCAGTTTTAGTTACTGCTTTGCTGCCTTAAGCTTTAAGCTACAGTTCTGCCACCTTTAGCTACAATTCTGCTGCTTGTGGCTACCACTTTGTTGAATTCAGCTACTGTTCTGCTGTCTTTAGCTACAATTCTGTAGCATTTTGCTACTGTTATGTTGCTATTAGCTAATGTTATGCTATTGACAACTGTTTCTTTTTTTGCCTTTAGCTAAATTTCTGTTGCTTTAGGCTACAGTTCTGCCACCTTTAGCTACAATTGTGGCTTTCGGCTACTGCCATTAGCAAAAGGTCTGCTGTTTCAGCTACTGTTCTGCTGCCTTTAGTCTACATTTCTGCTGCCTTCAGCTACTGTTCTTCTGTTTTTAGCTACTGTTCTGCTTTTAGCTAAAGTTCTGTTGCTTTAGGCTACAGTTCTGCCCACCTTTAGCTATAATTCTGCTGCTTTCAGCTACTGTTCTTCTGTTTTTAGCTACAGTTTTGTTGCCTTTAGCTACAATTCTGCAGCTTTCAGCTACAGCTCCACTGGTTTTAAGCTTTTAGCTTGTGTTCAGTTTGCTGTGTTACGTTTTGTTTAGCCTTTGTTTGGCTACTTTTACCTGGCTGTTTCAGCTTCTTCAGCTGCCATCCAGTACTCAACATTCACACTGTATTTTCACAGACAACACAGCCTCTCTAACTTGACCAGACTTTCCTCTTCTTCCTCACTTCCTTTTTTTGTTCTTCCTGTTTTGTTGTTTTCTTCCTCTGCTTTTCAAAACATCACAAACACAAAGAACCTGAACTCTTCAGGGTTTTTACTCACTTGCGAACAAACTTGGAGGTGAACTTGCTGAAAATCCCCGTGGCCCCGTGCGTCCTCCGGGCCTGGCTGTTGCCGTGCGACAGCGACGGGGAGGCGGGGCCACCGGAGTAGGTGGAGCCTTGCTGGTCCCGGGCGCCGCGCTGCTGCCCCGCGTGGAAGGTGCTGCGGATCACCCCGCCTCTGGGGAAGTTGGTTCGGTCCGAGACGGTGGCGCTGCTGATGTTGTGGGCCGACGGGGAGGCGCCGGGCGCCCGCTGCGACGCACCACTGCAGGAGGGGCAGGAAGTGAAGAAAACAAAAACGATGAAGGTGAAAGTGAAGAGTAGGAGGTGATAAATGGAAAAAAACAATTATATAAATAAAAGAGAAGAAGTAAAATGTGGAAGAGAAACACTGACAATCAAAATGAATCAATATTTGATGTGGTAGAACTATTCATTTCATACTGCAGTTTGGACAAGTTTGTTTCTCTAATGTTCTGATTTGAAATGTGGCAGGTGGTGGTTTACATTTCTTTAAGGAAAGCCAGAGCTTTAGTTTAAAGGGATCCAAGATTAGTTGTAACATTAGACTTTATTTGATAAACATATTTTAACTGTAAAATAAAGACTGTAAAAATACTGTATGCTTAGTTTTTGTAATTTTTAAATATATTTTAACACGGACGGAGCCATTTTATTTACACACAAAGCATTCTGGGTAAATGATGACATGGATAGGTCCTTGGTGCGAGGCTACTAGCGAGCTATATCCACCCTGAAGGTTAATCGTGGACAATATCTGATGATCGACTCTTTTAAATGAAACCAGAGAGCGTTGACAGTGTGCTAGCGCCAAAGCTATATTGCCTTATATGTATTAGCTCGGCGC